CACCCTGTATATACATTTGAAATACATTCGCAAAAATATAAAATCAACCACTTTGGTCCTCCAGTACCATTTCTCTCAAAATTTAATTTAATTTTGAGATACTTTAAAGCACAGTTAGTTCCAAAAATTTAAATATGATTGTTCTAAAAACGGCTGGCAATGATTTTGTAACGGTAAATTTATTAATTTTTATTTACAATTCACTTTTGTGTTCTTCAGATATATCTAGACTTCTAGTACCAACAGATTTTTGCAAAATTAAATTTCAAACATCCTGCACATGAATTTTTAAATGCAATCTATTCGTAATACAGTCGAAAAATGCATCGAAAATAAAATTTTCACTTTGGTCCCTGAGAAGCATATTTATCAAAATTTAATTTCATTTTCAAACATTTTAATGCATGGTTAGTTCTAGAAATTTAAATATGATTGTTCTAAAAATGACAAGCAATGAATTTGTGAAGATAAATTTGTTCATTTTTATGTACAACTCAGTTTTGTGTTTTTTACATATGTCTAGATTTCTAGTACCAAAGGATTTTGGCGAAATAAAATTTCAAACATCCTGTATACGAATTCTACAAGATAGTGTATCAATAATACAATCGAAAAATGCATAAAATCAACGACCGAACAACGAAACAAAAATTTTCACTTTGGTCCTCTAATAATATAGATGTCAAAATTTTATTTCGTTTTAGACGTTCTAATGTATAATTAGTTCCAGAATTTTAAATATGATTGTTCTAAAATGTTCTGAAATATGACAAGCAATGCTTTTATGATGAAAAACATTTCCCAATAATTATTTACAACTCAATTTAGTGTTTTTGTTCTATGTCCAGATGTCTAATACCAAAGGTTTCTTGCAAAATACAATTTCAAACATCCTGTATATAAATTTTAGATAGTGTGTCCGTAATACATTCGAAAAATGCATAAAATCAACGACCCAAAGTCGAACCAAAATCTTCATTTTGGTCCCCTAGTATCATTTTTCACAAAATTTAATTTCATTTTGAGATATTTTAAAGCACAATTATTTCCAAAAATTTAAATATGATTGTTCTAAAAACGACAGGCAATGATTTTGTGACGGTAAATTTAATAATTTTTATTTGCAACTTAGTTTGTTGGTCTTCACATATATTTAGATTTCTACTACCAACGGATTTTTGCAAAATTAAATTTCAAACATCCTGTATATGGCGTTTTAATTGTAGTGTATTCGTAATACAGTCAAAAATACACAAAATCAGCGACCCAACATCGAAAGTAGAATTTTCACTTTGGTCCCTGAGAAGCATATTTATTAAAATTTAACTTCATTTTTAGATGTTTTAATGCATGATTAGTTCCAGAAATTTAAATATGATTGTTCTAAAAATGACAAGCAATAAATTTGTGAAGATAAATTTGTTCATTTTTATGTACAACTCAGTTTTGTGTTTTTTACATATGTCTAGATTTCTAGTACCAAAGGATTTTGGTGAAATAAAATTTCAAACATCCTGTATACGAATTCTACAAAATAGTGTATCAATAATACAATCGAAAAATGCATAAAATCAACGACCGAACAACGAAACAAAAATGTTCACTTTGGTCCTCGAATAACATAGATGTCAAAATTTTATTTCGTTTTAGACGTTCTAATGTATAATTAGTTCCAGAATTTTAAATATGATTGTTCTAAAATGTTCTGAAATATGACAAGCAATGCTTTTATGATGAAAAACATTTCCCAATAATTATTTACAACTCAATTTAGTGTTTTTGTTCTATGTCCAGATGTCTAATACCAAAGGTTTCTTGCAAAATACAATTTCAAACATCCTGTACATAAATTTTAGATAGTGTGTCCGTAATACATTCGAAAAATGCATAAAATCAACGACCCAAAGTCGAACCAAAATCTTCATTTTGGTCCCCCAGTATCATTTTTCACAAAATTTAATTTCATTTTGAGATATTTTAAAGCACAATTATTTCCAAAAATTTAAATATGATTGTTCTAAAAACGACAGGCAATGATTTTGTGACGGTAAATTTAATAATTTTTATTTGCAACTTAGTTTGTTGGTCTTCACATATATTTAGATTTCTACTACCAACGGATTTTTGCAAAATTAAATTTCAAACATCCTGTATATGGCGTTTTAATTGTAGTGTATTCGTAATACAGTCAAAAATACACAAAATCAGCGACCCAACATCGAAAGTAGAATTTTCACTTTGGTCCCTGAGAAGCATATTTATTAAAATTTAACTTCATTTTTAGATGTTTTAATGCATGATTAGTTCCAGAAATTTAAATATGATTGTTCTAAAAATGACAAGCAATAAATTTGTGAAGATAAATTTGTTCATTTTTATGTACAACTCAGTTTTGTGTTTTTTACATATGTCTAGATTTCTAGTACCAAAGGATTTTGGCGAAATAAAATTTCAAACATCCTGTATACGAATTCTACAAGATAGTGTATCAATAATACAATCGAAAAATGCATAAAATCAACGACCGAACAACGAAACAAAAATTTTCACTTTGGTCCTCGAATAATATAGATGTCAAAATTTTATTTCGTTTTAGACGTTCTAATGTATAATTAGTTCCAGAATTTTAAATATGATTGTTCTAAAATGTTCTGAAATATGACAAGCAATGCTTTTATGATGATAAACATTTCCCAATAATTATTTACAACTCAATTTAGTGTTTTTGTTCTATGTCCAGATGTCTAATACCAAAGGTTTCTTGCAAAATACAATTTCAAACATCCTGTATATAAATTTTAGATAGTGTGTCCGTAATACATTCGAAAAATGCATAAAATCAACGACCCAAAGTCGAACCAAAATCTTCATTTTGGTCCCCCAGTATCACTTTTCACAAAATTTAATTTCATTTTGAGATATTTTAAAGCACAATTATTTCCAAAAATTTAAATATGGTTGTTCTAAAAACGACAGGCAATGATTTTGTGACGGTGAATTTAATAATTTTTATTTGCAACTTAGTTTGTTGGTGTTCACATATATTTAGATTTCTACTACCAACGGATTTTTGCAAAATTAAATTTCAAACATCCTGTATATGGCGTTTTAATTGTAGTGTATTCGTAATACAGTCAAAAATACACAAAATCAGCGACCCAACATCGAAAGTAGAATTTTCACTTTGGTCCCTGAGAAGCATATTTATTAAAATTTAACTTCATTTTTAGATGTTTTAATGCATGATTAGTTCCAGAAATTTAAATATGATTGTTCTAAAAATGACAAGCAATGAATTTGTGAAGATAAATTTGTTCATTTTTATGTACAACTCAGTTTTGTGTTTTTTACATATGTCTAGATTTCTAGTACCAAAGGATTTTGGTGAAATAAAATTTCAAACATCCTGTATACGAATTCTACAAAATAGTGTATCAACAATACAATCGAAAAATGCATAAAATCAACGACCGAACAACGAAACAAAAATTTTCACTTTGGTCCTCGAATAACATAGATGTCAAAATTTTATTTCGTTTTAGACGTTCTAATGTATAATTAGTTCCAGAATTTTAAATATGATTGTTCTAAAATGTTCTGAAATATGACAAGCAATGCTTTTATGATGATAAACATTTGTTAATAATTATTTATAACTCAGTTTAGTGTTTTTGATCTATGTCCAGATGTTTAATGCCAGAGGTTTGTTGCAAAATACAATTTCAAACATCCTGTATATAAATTTTAAACACAGTGTGTCCGTGATGTAGTCAAAAAATCAGTTTTCACTTTGATCCCCACGTAGCATTTCTCTCAAATTTTGATACTAATTGTTCTAAAAACTCAACACAGAAGAGTGTTTTTCCTTTTAAATTACACAAAACATATAACTGTCATTTACAAAATTATGACTGACAACATATTCAGACCGTTTAAATTGGTCCTAAAACGTTCTCCAAATAATACAAATTTGATCCATCCGACTGCTTTTACCAAATTTCGTTGCTGAATTTTTTATCAAATCTGTTCCACATTTCACGGACGGTATATTCAGCTGCTGTGTCTATTTACACTAATTATTGATTAATTGTCCGCTCCGATAATGAGAAGGTCGGTTTTGTTTGAGAATTATGTAATTATTGATTTTAAAATTTAACATTATTTTGGATAGTGTTCTCACAAATGAAGTAGGTGAAATTATTAAAAACATTTTTTTTTAAGAATTTCCGATCAAAGTGGTTTCCCATTATGCAGACTTATTTTAAACTCATTCTTTGAAATCTGTGTTTATAGTTCCTGTTTCGAGAAGGCGGCAAAATCACGTCCACTTTGATCTGACAATCATTTATATACACTCGGTATACTAGAACTTGTTGTGTTTTTCCAAACAGGACACTAGTTCTATTGCAGAGCCGGCTTCAGAAAATAAACACTTCAAGGGGCAAAAATCAAATGTTAGATTCTAGTAGAGTGACCCGGGCGATTGAATTATGAGTCCCTAGAGGTACCCTTTTTGAGTTCTGCCTCGGGGTGCACATTAGCCTGAAACCTGCCCTTTTTAATACTCGATAAGCGAAGTTGGAGAGAACACGTCACATCCAGCGACCTCTCGGCGGGAAAAACTTTGAAAAAAGTGCCAAAACCCTTATAAATACCAGTATGAAATATCGTATATTTAGTTAAAAATTGTACGAAAAAGGAAAAATATACTGTCAACTGTTTTAGCGCGAGAGCGGCACCTGTGTACATATCAAACCACGTTTATGGCAGAGTTGTCCACATTATCTACCCTATCTCCACATAACAGGTGCTTTTCTTGTCAAAACTGGGTTGCTTTAAAACCAGATAACGAATTCATTCAAAGTAGTGCCACTAAACATATCTTCAGTTTCGACTACCCCTAATTACAACCCCAATGTTCCACCAGGATCCGGGAAAAATTTCGCAGCCGCCCCTTTCCATCCCATCCAAACGCAATTCCCGCCCCCTCCCTCACTCACCGAAAACTTTGGACCACTGTGCCGGCGGTCTCCAGTCGGGGTAGTGCTTGGGGAACTTATCCCTGGACCAGAAGGTGTGCAGGACCACTTTATAAACGGTGAGCTTGTCGGGCTGGCAGGGTTCGCCGGCGGCGGCGGCGTCCCTGCTCTGGCCCGGGGCCGCCCCCACGGCAGCGGCGGCCGCACAGAGCGCCAGACACACACACGTCGCGAAAGACATACCGACAGACACTGGGACGACCTGGTTGCAGCGCGACCGTAGAGAGATTGGTGGCAGGCGCACTCTGCACCTCGCTCGGTCCTAGGCGGCTGTGCTCGCTGGGTGCGTGCTGCGTGAGGCGGTGCGTGACGGTGGGACGTGACGCCGGTGCACCACGCGGATTGAGGGAGCTGGAAGAACAGGAAATTCGGGAGGTTTGGAGCTTTCGCTTTCTTGGAGGGAGGCGATGGAGTTTCGATGGCGGGTTTCGAGGAGTTCGGCGGGTTGGGGTTGTAATGGGGTGCGAAAGTGGGTCTAGCACGTTGACCGCCGCATGGCACACCGTATGTGCCTTGCAAATTTTTCCGCCCAGGCTTTGTGGCACAGGAGTTGTGCCATGTCAATTACCGAGCTCCATTGTTTCTTGGCAGGCTAGCTGTGTATTGAAACCTTCATTTTTAAATGGGATCTTATAGAGCGCGGTGCAGGGAACCCAGAAACGCAAAAACCCTACGAATTTTTTTTTGTTATGATGAATTAAAAATTATCATTTTATAGTGGGTCTAGAAAAAATTTAGATAGGATTATTTAAGCCAGAATTGCTAATATTATTTAATATTACTAGAAATTAAACTCGAATCCTTGATGTTGGACTTCAAAATTTTATTTAGAAGGAATAAAAAAAATAAAATAAAATAAAATAAAATAAATATAAAATAAACATTATTTTATAGATTTCAAACAGAAATAAATTTGAATAGCAATAATTAGAAACAAAACTAAAACAAAACGTTTATGTTTTTATAAAACTGTCTTGTTTAAAAAAAAAAAGAATTTAACTGAAAAATTTTTGCTGCATTAATTTGTAGATCGAGGTGATTTTGATTATGCCAATTTCTGAGACGTTCATTTTGTAGCATACAACACATGTTCTTATATCTAAATTTTTCAAATCGTGCACTTTCTCTGAATGACGTGCCAATGATTCAAGGCACAATATTTGTGCCACATCGGCCTGTGTGGCAAAAAGATAATCTGACGCCGCGTGGCACAGACGTTGTGCCTTTCAAAATAATTTTAAAAAACACGAAAAAATACAGAATTTTGAAACGAAATCCATATATTCTTGATACACAATACTTTTCTTAACATATATTTAAAGAAAAAAAAGTCGCCCTGAGGGACCTGAATTTTTCAATGCATTACGGCGGTTAACGTGCTAGGGACGTGTTGCAACCCTTATGAGAGCGGGTCTGTGATTGGGGTCGTTACGGGTTTGGATCGGGGGTGGTAATTGATTAGAAAAATAACTGGCATATGCGGGATGGAACACAATGTGTTCAGGTTAAATTTAAACAAATCGGACTAATCTGTGGATAAAAGATTACAGGTATCAATTTACAGTAAAACCTACGGGTTGGGAATTTATGAGCAGGGATTTTTTCCGTGAAGAATTATTTAACGATTTTTGAGGTGACGTCATTCAGTTTTTTGGAGAGCATTAATAAACAAAAATAAATTAGATTCTATAATCTCAAAATTAAGGTAATTTTTGTAAAAAATACTCTCCCCAAATTTTCCCTAACACAGGGCGATGTAAAATCCGTAACTTAAGAAAAATTAAAATTAAATTTGATTTATTATTATATATTTGACTTTACCAATTTTAAATTTAAACTTTTAAGACGGAAAAAAGACAACAGTAAAGTAAGCAAAAAAAAAAAAAACGTGAGCAATAAAAAAACTACAAGGAAGACAAAAAAACCGATAAGAAACTGACATTCAAAACGCACCAAAAAAAAAGACAAAAAAAAACGAAAAAAAGGAGACGAAAAAACACGACTCAAAAAAAAACAAAATAGGGGATAATAAAAAAAGGCACGAAAAAAAGAGGACAAAAAGTGGCCAAAAGTGGGACCTTTGTGTGGCGAAAATGACGATAAAAAATTGGTCTAAAGAGTTTAGACAGTACTTCCCTCGCTGTCGGACACTTGACGACTGCATGCCTATTGTGTTTTTTTTCTCATTACATTTTTGTAGTGGGAATTTAAAAAAAAATTGCGATGACGTCATCAACATTTTTGCAAGGACACGTATATCAGTTGGGATAGATGTAGTGTAATACTAAGAATAAAATTATTATATTCTCAAATTTTCGGGAAAATGAATTGGGTCGTTTGAATATTGATTTGTAATAATCAATAAAATAACGAAACAATTTATTCACGTATACCTACGTATCAGAGGCAACTGAAAATCGTGTATGTATAAACATTCTTAATTTAAGATGACAGGCGTAACAGCATACGCGAGAGCCAAACAGAGAAACTGTAAACAAAACGACCGTCGGTTTTATTGCTTCGACTTCCGCTTATTATATAAAACATTGGGTTTTATTTTAATTCTTGACGGTGAAATTCACAATTGGTTGATTATAAACATGTCTATTTCACATTCGCGGAATCAAGTGAACGCATAAAAAAATTCAGGTCTGTAATGTTAAAGTTGATGTAAATAAGCGTGCTACCCTTATGTTTCAACCGAGTTTTTCTTTTAACAAATTTTGTGTCTACCAAATTGGGTTGGTTGGGGTGTAATACTAATAATAAGTGTTGCCTTTAATTTAATCAATAAAATAAATTGACTTCATAAATTTTTTTGAACCACCTCTTAAGAAAATCTAAAAAATATATAAAAAAAATCATATTTTTTGCATTTTAGATAGGATTTATTCAGCAAAATTTAAGGGTGACGTCATCAATTTTTTTAGGGGGGATGAACAAATACATTTTGAACAAAAGTTTACCATGCTTATAATAACTTTAAAATATTCCCAAAATTTCAAAGCATTTGGTTTTGTAATTCCTGATTAAATCGATAAAATAAATTCACGCTTTCATTAATTTTTTTGAGTCACCCTGCATATGCAAATCCAAAAATATGAATGGGATGATAAATCACAAGTACAGACTCATCATATTTTGTACATTGTAGATACGATTTATTCGGAAAACTTTTGAGCTGACCTCATCAGTTTTTTGTAGAAGATAACCAAATATATTTTGACTAAAAATTTATTATGCTCTTTATAACCTTAAAACATCTGCAAGATTTCAAAGCATTCGGTTTTGTAGTTCCTGATTAAATCAATAAAATAAATTTACGCATTCATTAATTTTTTTGAGTCACCCTGTATATGCAAATCGAAAAAATTTGAATGGAATGATAAATCACAAGAAGAGACTCACCATATTTTGTACATTTTAGAAATTTTGTGGTGACATCATAAATTTTTTAGGGGGGACGACCAAATACGTTTTGATCAAAAATTTACCATGCTTATGATAATTTTAAAATGTCTTCAAGATTTCAAAGCATTCGGTTTTGTAGTTTCTGAGTAAATCAGTAAAATAAATTTACGCATTCATTAATTTTTTTGAGTCACCCTGTATATGCAAATCCAAAAAATATGAATGGAGTGATAGATCACAAGTACAGACTCATCATATTTTGTACATTTTAGATATGATTTATTCCACAAACTTTTGAGCTGACGTCATCAAGTTTTTGGAGGGGATAAGCAAATATTTTTTGACTAAAGATTTATGATGCTCTTTATAGCCTTAAAACATCTGCAACATTTCAAAGCATTCTGGTTAGCAGATTAAAAATTAAATTTCAAAATGTTGTTTTATAATTTTGATTTTTTTTCCAAAAATCTGGACGTTTCGGGTGAAAAGTCGATTCAGAGTTGTAAACTACATGTGTAGGACTATGTTATTTTATACAATTGAAAACCCATTTACTATGTACAATTTTGAAGTGACGTCATCGCATTAGTGGTGGGGATGATTAGACAAATTTTGGTTAGCGTTTTACCATCTACATGATATTCTTAATATAAGTACAAAATTTCACAACAATCGGTCGAGTACTTTCGGAGATTATCTGTCTAATAAAAATCCGGGACGGCAGACGGACAGACGGACAGACGGACGGACAGACGGACAGACGGACGGACAGACGGACGGACAGACGGACAGACGGACAGACGGACAGACGGACAGACGGACAGACAGACGGAAATGGGAGACCTATTTCTTCGTCTTCTAGGGGTCATGAAAGATCGAGAAAACGTAAAAGTAGAGAGTCGGCCGACGGACTCGATTACAATACTTCCTTTGCTTACGCTCGAGAAGTAAAAAGACAACAGAATAATAACAGAAAAGGGGACAAACACTGACCAAAAAAGCGCCAAGAAGAGCAACAAAAATAGCAGCAAGAAAAGGGACAAAAGAGATGACAAAGGAAAAACGATAAAAAGAAAACTAGCGACTGCGACAAAAAAATCATAAAAAAGAGGCAACATAAAACACGACACAAGAAGAGAACAAAAAACGTAAAGGGGGAAAATAAAGGAGATAGAGAAGGGAACAAATAAAACGATAGAAAGAATGACAAAAACGGGAAACAATGGGACAAAACACAAAAGTACTATAAAAATTACACTACTAAAACAAGACAAAAAAATTGCAGACAAGAAAAACATTCCGAAAAAGGGAAAAAACGACAAAAAGGGGACAAAAACGCGAACAAAAAGGATGACACAAAAGATACGTGAAACAGAGGGGGGACAAGAAAACGTCACAAAGAAAAAAGCGACAAGAGAAGGTGAAAAAAACAGTCCATGAAAAGAGGCGACAAAACAATAGCACAAAAACGACTAAAAAATTCGACAAAAGACGGGAAAATAACGGTACAGAAAAAGGAGCCAAAAAATACGACACAAAAGGACCGTAAAAAAGGTGAAAATAAGGGGACAAAAACGAAAATAAAAACACGGGACAAGAAAGAGACCCAAACACAGACAAAAATTTCGCCAAAAAAAGATGACAAAAAAGGAGGCAAAAGAAGTGACAAAAAAGCGTTAAATAAAAGGGAAAAGAAAATGCGCCAAAAAGCGATTAAAAGTAGCAAAAAACGACAAAAGATCGTACCAAAACAGCAACAAGAAAAGACGACAAAAATGGACCAAAAAAGTTACTATTAACAGACGACCAAAGCAAGATGACAAAAAGGAATCGAAAAAGTA